ATTAAAATGCGTTTTTATCTGAAGAATAAAGAATACTTAAAGTTGGAAAAAAACCCTGGGAGATCTTTGAGTGGATTGGGAGAGATCTTGTAGCCCTTCCCCACCTCTGAGCTCCTTTTAAAATTCTGCTTCCCCCTGGTTATTAAATCTCTCAAAGTGACCCGCTCAGGTCAGATAATACATTGCATTTCTAGTTTTCAAATAAACTTTGCTAATTCAGGGCTGCTGCCAGCCTGCAAGAATCCCTAACCAAGGTGCTCTAAAACATCCTCTGATTAACAAATAAGCTGTCACTCCCTCCAGTGCTTAAGGCTGGCAATTTAACACCCAGAAACCACATTTTCGTATTGGAGATTAAATATTTTTGCAAGTTAAAAGAGCTGCCGTGGGCTGAGCTGTCACCTAATTGTGTCAGTCTCTTTGTGGGGTGTTTTGATAAGCACATCAGAGCAGAGGCTTTCATCTTTGGGCTGGATCTGCCCCCGTCCCAAATCCACACCCGCCCGGATTCCTCCGGATTTTGGGGTTTCACCATTTTGGGATTTTGCTGGCGTGGAGCTGAGGGGTCTCAGGGTTGGGTTTTTGGTGGGGTTGAGCCCCCCTGGAGTGCCGAGGATCATGTTTGGGGTGGGTGATGTTATCCCAGCTCGGATTCTCCAGCTGGTCATGTTCCTGATTTACAGAGCCTTTGTCCTTTCTGCTCTGGGAATATCTCCTGCTGCTTTATTTTCTTAAAAAAAAGGCAGAAATTCATCTGTCAGAAAGTCGTTCTGATGTTAAATTTGGGTTTGAAATGGTGTTTTTCTGCCCCAACCTGTTTTGGGGCTAAATGTGACACGTTGGAGGATGCTTCTGCCACTGCTGCCTGCTCTCTTCGTGGTAAAATTGGAATTAATCAAAATTAAAAAGCTTTAGTTGGTGATAAGGAACCCAGCAGATAAAAACTACCACAGCCACATGCTGAGGAGGGAAGAGTCTGTTTGGAACCGCAGTAAATGTGTCAATAAACACAAATCAAACGCAAATGAAATAAAAGCTTTTCACGCACTCCTCGAGACCAGACAAAAATAAACGCCACATAAACAACCGGCCTTTATGAAACGCTCCAAAAATAAAAACCACTCTGGCAACCAGGCCAAAAAATGAGATTGCCTCGGTGTGTTCCCACCTGCCGGGAGCTCTGCTCCTCCCTGGATCGCAGCAGTGCTCGGGGATTTTGGTTCAGGTCAGAGCCAGCAGTGGCTGCAAAGGGGCTGGGAAGAGCCTCATCCCAAAAGGGAGGGCATGGAAAATCCCAAAGCTGAGAGCAGCACCCAAAATCCTTCCCCTGCTCTGTCAATAAGTTTCCTCTTACATAAGAGAGTTCTCACCCCAAGGAAATATTTTTGGCTTTTAAGCCAGTCTGCAAAGGAAGGTAAGCTACAGACAGGTCTTTTTTTATTATTATTTTTTATTTCTTTTCTTTTTTCCTTTTTGTATTTTTTCTTGTTTTTGGCTTTTAAGCCAGTCTGCAAAGGAAGGTAAGCTACAGACAGGTCTTTTTTTATTATTATTTTTTATTTATTTTCTTTTTTCCTTTTTGTATTTTTTATTTTTTCTCTTTTTTTAAATTTTTTCTTCTTTTTTGTTGTTTCTGTTTCTGGGTTTTTGGTTTTTTTCTCCTTTTTCCCTTCCTTTTTCCCCCCCAAAGAAAATCAGCCTGGAAGTGCTGGCATGACTTGTAGCTTTCTCTCATCCTGCACCCCTCCTCCAAAAGCTGAAAAGAAAATTTCCTCCTCCCCACCTGGAGCTGAGCACTGCCCAAGGCCCTCACACAGATACAACCCAAAACCCCCGAGCCCAGCAAACCTCATTTCCTCTGGAAATTCCAGGGATCACGCCAGGATAAGCTCATTGATTGACTCAAAAACATTCAAATTAAAGCCTCCAGCCCAGTGCTGGGCTGCACGGGTGACAATTAATAAATGATAAATTCCTGGTGACAATTAATAAATGCCAAATTCCTGGTGGCAATTAATAAATGATAAATTCCTGGTGACAATTAATAAATGCCAAATTCCTGGTGGCAGGGGCTGCTGCCTGCTTTGTCTCCCACGGCGTTTCCTCCAAGCACCTGAGATGATTCCCAGGAAAACACGAGTGCTGTGGGGATGGGATTTCCCCGGGCCGGAGCTGCCGAGGGGCTCGGCAGTTTCCAGGTTTCAGATTTGGGGCCGGGGTCCCGGCAATGGCACAAAAAGGTTCCAGCAGGCCGCTGGAAAATGGAAAATTGCCACGGCCACGCTGCCTCTCCCAACTCCAGCAGCTCGGCTGGATGTGGTTTCCATGGAAATAGACGTCAGATCAGCAAAAAACAGGGCCAGCGTTTAAAATAATCTCTGTTTTGAGAGCTTTCCTGCCTTTCTGTCACAATATTAACCTCCCTCAAGGTAGGATCACCTCTCTTTTTGGAGCGAAGTCTTTGGGTGTAAGGGGGTGCTCGGCAAGGGGGGGGTGGTCCCGGAAAATGGGGTTTTTTTGGGATGGAGGGTGTGGAGGCTGCTGGGCTGGGGCTGCAGCAGAGTTCTGCTGGGTGTCCCTCTGCCTTTCCTGCGGATTGACTCTTGGCGTGGCCAGAGCGTGGAAACGATTCCTGAGGGACACGGAGCGATTTGCTGGGAGCACTTTTGGGGGTGAGGCGCTTCCAGAGGCGGCGTCACCCCAAAGGACAGAGAGGGTGGCCCCCAAAAGCTGTGGGGTCACAGATCTCCGTGGTGGCTGTCACCCTGAGACGACCAAAGGGACTCGGTGCTCGTCTTGGTGACGAGCAAGAGCCCTGAAGTTATGGTGGCCTTGAGGTGGCCGTGCCCTTGGGTGGGTGGCCATGTCACTGAGGGGACCAAGGTCTCGAGGCAAGTGGCCGTGGCTCTGAGGTGACCATGGATCTGGGGTTACTGTGGCTTTGAGGTGACCATGAATCTGAGGTGACCATGGCCATGAGGTGACCACAGCCATGAGGTGACCATGCATCCAGGGTTACCATGGCTTTGAGGAGACCATGGATCTGAGGGAACCATAGTTTGAGGTGACCATGGCTTTGAGGGGACCATGGCCATGAGGTGACCATGAATGTGAGATGACCATGGCCATGAGGTGACCATGAATGTGAGATGACCATGGCCATGAAGTGACATGGATCTGAGGTGACCGTGAATCTGGGCTGACCATGACTCTGAGGTGACCACGGCTATGGGTGACCATGGATCTGAGGTGACCATGGCTCTGGGTGCCCATGGCCATGAGGTGACCATGATCTGAGGTGACCATGGCTTTGAGATGACCATGGATCTGAGGTGCCCATGGCCTTGAGGTGACCATGGATGGCTCTGAGGTGACCGTGATGTTGTGGTGCCCACGCTCTGGGTGACCATGGACCTAACATGACCATGGCCATGAGGTGATTGTGGCTCTGGGTGCCCATGGCCATGAGGTGACCGTGATCTCAGGTGACCATGGCCTTGAGGTGACCATGGACGGCTCTGAGGTGACCGTGATCTTGTGGTGCCCACGCTCTGGGTGACCATGGACCTAACACGACCATGGCCATGAGGTGGCCATGAATGAATCTGAGGGGACCATGGCCATGAGGTGACCGCGGCTCAGGGTGCCCATGGCCGTGAGGTGGCCGCAGCTCTGGTCATCCCAGCCGGAGCTCCGCTCTGACCGTTCCCCCTGTGGGGCCGGACACCCCTGACCGCAGCACCGGCCCTGCCGCCCCACCGCAGGAGTGCCACACAAAGGCAATCCCAGCAGCTCCGGGGGCAGGAGCGGGATCCCCGTGCGGGGCTTTGGAGACCGGGGGGTCCCTGAGGGCCGGGGGTCGTCGCGGCTAGGCCCGGTACCGCCGGTAGCCCCGGTTCGGCCCGGCCCGAGAGCGGGGGCCGCCGCCCCCCGCCGGGGGGCGAACTACAACTCCCGGCATGCCCCGCGCGGCCGGGGGCGGGGGGGCTACTTTGTTTGGCGCTTTTGTGCGCGGCGGGGCGGGCGCGAGCGGAGTGTGGCCGGAGCGGCGGCGCGGGCAGGTGGGTGCGCGGCGGGGCCGCCGCGGGGGAGCGGGCACGGGCGGGCCGCGGGGCCCCGCCGCCGCACCCTCCGCGTCTCGAGGCAGGCGGAGGAAGGAGAGGGCGAAGCGTCGGTGCTTCACGGGGGTCCGGCGCCGCGTTGATACGGGCGGCGTGAGGGGTCCCGAGGGTGGGTGTCAAGGTGAGGGGGGGGCTGCGCGGCGCTTCTCGGGCGCTCGGGGCGGGGGTCGCTTTTGTCCCCGCTCGCGGGCATCGCGTCGCCGCCCGGTTTTGGAGCGTTGCGGTGACAAAGGGAAGGGAGACAATGCGGGGGGATTCCTCCTATGTGTCCCTGTTCCCCCCGCGCCCCGATCGCTGAGGGGAATGGGGTGGCTATTGTCCCTCAGCGAGGGGCGACGCCCTACCCGCGGCAGCGGCGCCCCCTCCCCTCCCCGCCATTGTTAGTGGGGAAGGGGCGGTATCCGGGCGGCCGCGCCCCGAAGCCATCGAGCCGTGGGGGTCTCTCTCGGAGCCCCCTGTGCCGGTGTCGCTGCCCAGCGCTCCCCGTCCCCTTCGCCCCTGAGGGGCTGAGGCGGGGTGGTGGTGGTGGGGGGGGGCCGGCCCCGCACCTGAGGCGGGGGGCGGCAGGTGCCCGGATGTTGGCGCTGGCCCCGCCCCCTCCCTCGAGCCCCCTCGCGCGGGCGCGCGCGCGCTCTCCCCGGCGGTTTGAATTCGGTGCGGTTGGAGGGCCGGGGGCGGGCCGGGGGCGGGGCCTGCGCGGCCATCCGCGGCTCCGCCCAATCCGGGCTTAACAAAGCTCGGCCCAACCCCAAACCGGGCTCGCTTTTAGCGGGAAATTCCCTTTGGGACGGGATTTTATTTCATCTAAACCCCCCCGCAGCCCCTCCCTGCCCGGTTTTAATTGAAATTTCCCATTTTTGAGGGGTTTTTATTCCGGACCCCGCTCCGAGCCCCTTCAACCCCCCCCAAAAACACCCTTTTTTCTTTTCTTTTCTTTTAATACGGCTTCTAGATCTTTTTCTGGCATTTTTCTACGGCGCCCCGTTTTCACGAGGTGTCCTGGGCGGTGTACGCCCTCGCTGTCTGCCGCGGTGTGAAGCATCTGACTTGAGCTGCGCAATTAAAAGCGAATTTTAAATGAGCTCGATTGCGCACATTTCAGATCCTTCGGGAGTGGCAGGAATCCTAGCCGTGCTGTCCTGTGGTGCGTCATTTTTTTATTCAGCGAGCTCTTTTACGTGTGTGAGAGCAGTGAAATCCCCGTAGCCCCGTGGTAAAACGGGGGTCTTTGTTCCAGTACCTTAAGGTGGAATAAAACAGATTGAAGATGCTCGAATATCCCAGAGATCTTGCACCGTCAGTAATTCCATAACCTCTCCAGTATTCCCAGCACTGTCCAGCTCCACAAAATGCCTGGAATCACTGCCTGCAGTGACCTACCTTGTGTGCCTTTTGTTCAGCAGCTCTGATTCTGTCCAGCAGTTTTTATTAGAAGGAGCAGGATCCCTGTGCTGGCTGTTGAAAGGCACATCTCTTTGTTACCCAGGAACCCACCTGACTGACCTTCTCCCAGGCTTGGCTTCTGGAGTCTCATTTCTTTGCCATGGCTACTTCTGGTAGGTAGAATTCTGTGCTAAATGCTCCTATCCTTTTTTTTTTTTTTTTTTGTTGCCTCCTGATTTCCTCGGGAATAACATAAAACCCAAATCTAGCGAAATAAGCTGCTGTCAGCAGGCTTTGCTCCCGTTTGGGCGAGGCTGTTGAAGCTGGGTGGTTGTGAAAACACCCCAAAAGAGGAGTCTGGCAGCAGATGGGCTGCAGCTCCCTGCAGCCATCTGCTCCCTCGGCAGAGCTGCCTGTCACCGAGACGTGTCGGGGACCACGCGGCTGCAGCTGACACCCTGCAGGGCTGGGGGACAGCCCTGCCTGCAGATTGCTCCCAAAATTTGGGGTTTATTCCTCCTTGGCTTTCTCAGGTTGCAGGCAAACGCCTGGAAATTCATCCTCAGGTTTGCTAGTGCAGGGAGGATGATTTTTGATTTGAGCTAAGGGGTTTGTTTCCACCACTTGGGATGTTGAAGGATAAATGGAAACATCAGGAGCTCGGGTGGTGGAGGATCAAGGAGAGGTTGCAAAGGGAATTTCCACAAAACTCCTGTCTTGGCTGCCCATCCTCAGGGAACCTGATGGTGCTGAATATTGGAAGGCTGCTTTTAATGTCACCTGAGCCAGTTCCTGCATGAAATATTCTTTTTTGTGGCTTTTCTCCCCCGCGTTCCCAGACATCCAGGTGAAGGAGCTGGAGAAGCGAGCCTCTGGGCAGGCCTTTGAGCTGATCCTCAGCCCCCGCTCCAAAGAAGCCGTGGCAGAGTTCCCTCTGTCTCCCCCGAAGAAGAAGGATGTGTCACTGGAGGAGATCCAGAAGAAGTTGGAAGCAGCTGAGGAGAGACGCAAGGTAAAGCTGGAGCAGCTGAAGTGAGCTCTGCTCCACCAAATTTGGGGGTTTGAGGCTCTCTTTTTATTTATTTCTTGGGATAAGTGGGGTTTTTAATTGCAAATTGAATATTAATGAAATCCCTGGGGCTCTTATGAAGCTTTATGGTCATGGTTTTGGTTCCAAAGAGATTTCCCTGGAGCTCACAGCTCCTGCTGCTGTTTTCCAGGACAAGCACGTGGAAGAGGTTCGAAAGAACAAAGAAGGCAAAGACCCCGGCGAGGCCGAGACCGACTGACTCCGTTCTGGAAACTGACTCTCCCCCTCCTCCAAATATCCAAAGACTGTACTGGCCAGTGGTTTATCTTTGCTTTTGGTTCGGTTATATATATATTTTTTTTTTTTTACGTTTCTTAGAAACTGATGTAGAACTGTAAAATTAGATCCAAACTGTACACTTGCTTTGGGGGCTAGAGGGGAGACCTTCCATGTGTCACTTTTCTAAAGTGTTGTCTTTCCAGTGTAGCTTTTTCTTCTTGTTGCATCCTTTTCTACGCCAGTGCACTCGCTCCTGGGTTGATGGCGAGTACTGTATCAGCTCTGTAAGACCTTGTGCAAGGAATCTCTAGTAACTGTTCCATGCTGAATATCTGTTACACTTCCAACAAAAATCTCTGACTGTCCAGTCTGCTCAAATACTGCTGTAACGAGTGACTCAATAAAGCTGCACAGTGCTGTTATCCGCCTGCCTTCCTCAGGAGCCAGGGCTGGGTGCGCGGAAGGGCCGCGGGGCATTGTCCTGGGGCTGTGACAATCACAGCTTTGTGTGACACCTCAGCTGCGGCTGTTTGTGTCCCAAGCCCTGCGCTGCTGGGCCAGCCCAACAAAGGCCCTTGTCACCCAGGGCTCGGGGGGACGTGTGACACAGGGGACAGCAGGACAGGAGCTGGCTGCTCCAAGGGGCAAGGCTCAGGGGGAGAGGAATCGTTGTGTGCTGGGGTGGAGCAGCACCTGCCCACAGCTGCTCTGGGCTGGGAGAGGGGAGGGGCTCTGAGCAAAGATCATTTTGAGGTGGGTTTGGAACAAAATCGCTGTGCTGCACCCCAAATCCATCCCCTGAGGACACCCACAGGTGTGGTGTGAGCAGGCACCACCAGCCTCCCCAAAAACCCTGTCAGAGCTCCGGGGCGCTGACCCTGCTGGCCCTGCCCTCAGTCCTTCCTCTGGCCTTGCTCCCAGGTTTGTTTGCAGTTTAATTCCACACCCGGGGCACCTGAAGATGGAAAATCCGTAGGGAATTGGGTTTTTTAAGAGACTCAGGGAGCCCTGGGCCGTCAGCCTCAGGTCTGGGGTGTGATGGAGCAGCAGCCTCGGTTCGGGAAGCTTTTCCCAGCGGGTTCTGTTCTTACCCCGAGCTGCCCTGGGGGATTGCAGCCGCTTCGGAGGCTCCGCAGCGCAGCCCGAGGTGCGGGAGAGGCTGCGCTGCTCCCTGCTGGGGACTGCGGCGGCGCGAGGGGGAAACGGACACGGCTGTGGGGTCGGGGTCTGACTGGGGACGGGGTCGGGATCTGCCCGGGAACGGGGTCGAGGTCTGCCCCAGGAATGGGGCCAGGCTTTGTCCAAGAATAGGGTCAGGGTCTGCCCGGGAACGGGGTCGGGGTCTGTCTGGGGACGGGGTCGGGATCTGCCCGGGAATGGGGCCAGGCTTTGCCTGAGAATAGGGTCAGGGTCTGCCCCAGAAATGGGGCCAGGCTTTGCCCAAGAATAGGGTCAGGGTCTGCCCAGGAACGGGGTCGGGATCTGCCGGGGATGGGGTCAGAATCTGCCCGGGGATGGGGTCAGGGTCTGCCCGGGGATGGGGTCAGGCTCTGCCCCGCAGGGGGAGGGCAGCAGAACAGGGCTGAACTTTGAGCCAAAGCTTGTGAGTGCGCCCAGGAGAGCTGAACACCTGGCACGGCGTAATGGAGGCTGGAGGGAGCCCTGGAGCAGCTCCCGAGTACAAAACGAGGCCCGGGAATGGGGCCAGGCTTTGCCCAAGAATAGGGTCAGGGTCTGCCCGGGAACGGGGTCGGGGTCTGTCTGGGGACGGGGTCGGGATCTGCCCGGGAATGGGGCCAGGCTTTGCCTGAGAATAGGGTCAGGGTCTGCCCCAGAAATGGGGCCAGGCTTTGCCCAAGAATAGGGTCAGGGTCTGCCCAGGAACGGGGTCGGGATCTGCCGGGGATGGGGTCAGAATCTGCCCAGGAATGGGGTCAGGCTCTGCCCGGGGATGGGGTCAGGCTCTGCCCCGCAGGGGGAGGGCAGCAGAACAGGGCTGAACTTTGAGCCAAAGCTTGTGAGTGCGCCCAGGAGAGCTGAACACCTGGCACGGCGTAATGGAGGCTGGAGGGAGCCCTGGAGCAGCTCCCGAGTACAAAACGAGGCACAATCAGCGACCAAACCCCGCGGATCTTCATTTTAATGTAGTTACCTGCTGAGGAAAGAGCGCCCCAAACGCCATGTGGGGTTTTTTCTCCTCTCTCCAAACGTGGAGGAGGAGAATGGCAGCTCTGCCAAACCCCAAATGGTGCTGCAGCCCAAATCGATGCTAAATGCGAGGTTTAGGCTTGCCAGAGCTGTCAGAGCTCGGCGCGGGGCCTGCTGTTCCCTCCTCTTCCTTCTGCTTCACGTGTCTGCCGAGCTTGGGCTCAGCCGGGGCTCTGGGGTCTCTGGGTGCTCCTGGGGGGAATTTTGGGGGTGTGAGGAGGGAGAGCACAGCAGTGCCCCGGGAGAGGAATGATCAGGGCAGGAAAACAGAACTCAGGGTCCCTCTGGGGAGAGCTGGGCTGGAAATAGGTTCCTTTAAAATAATAATCATAAAAAAGCTGCCGAGGGAGGGAGGGAGGGAGGGACGTGGAGCCGTGTCGGGGCTGCGAAAGGAGGAGCAGCTCCAAGGGGCTGCGGGGCCGCGACCCCCGGGACCCCCGGCCGGGCCGGGGCCGTTCTGAGGTGCCGGGGCGGGGCTGGGGGTCCCGAGAGTCCCGAGGGGACGGGAACCAAAGCCCGGCTCATCCCCACCCTGCTCATCCCAGAGCATCCCGGGCTGCTCCGGGTCTGCAGGGCTGCAGCTGCCCTGCGGGGGCTCGGGTGGGAGAAAACCCGGGCTGGTTTCAAAAGGAAAGCCGCGTGTGCTTCAGGAGGCTTTTTAAAAATTTTTTTTTTATTTTTTTGGGAGGCTGTGCCGCTGTGCGGCGGGATGTAAACAGCCGGGGGCGAGTCTTTATCATCACAGAAACATCCAGCGGGTGGGGTGGGCGCTGCTGGGCACAGGAAACGCTGCGGAGCGAACGCGGGCGGCCGAGGCAGCGGCACCCGGCTCCGTCCTGGGGCGCTCAGGGCGCTCTTTGGGGTACCAGGCACTTGAAGGATTTCCAGGATGCGCTCCCCTCGTAGCGGAGCATTGCTCAAAGCTGCGAAGAGCTCGGCGGATTAAATCCTGCTCCCACAAGTTTGGAGGAGCTGAAGGAAGCAGCGCATCTCCCCGGGCCGCCTTTCCCGCAGGAATTCCTCTTCTGGGAACCGCAGCGGGGTCGAGCTGAGCCCCCTCCCCTGCGCCTGGAGGCAGAGGCAAGTTCTGCGGGCAGGCTTTGCTGCCAGGCTGCCCGCGGGATTGAGGTCAAAACAAAAAATTTGGCACCTTCTGCTTCTGCCCTCTGGCCGCGGCAGCTCGGGGCTCTTGTGGGTCAGGAGTTCACGGTGGGAATTTTCCCCTGGCAGCCCCAGAAAGGTGGAGGTTTTTGGGGAGGGTTCGGGGGGCCGGGCTGAGCTGCTGCCCCAGCCGGGGGGGCTGCTGGGGCTGGGGGCTTCTCCCACCCGGCCAGGTGGGCAAAGGGCGTTTGGGAGGGAAATGCAGCAGCAAAGAGCCTGGTTTGGGTTTTTTTTTCTGCATCTGTGCCCCTTGGATTCAGGCAGGAATGAGTTACAGCCTAACTTTGATGAGGAAATTACGGAGTTTTTTAAAACAAACAGTCCCATCCCCACCTCCTCCTGTTCCCAAACTTTTAAGAGCTTTTCCTGTCCCTGAAATGAGGGCACTTGTCTGGGGCTGAGGCACAGAGCAGCACTGGAGCTGGACGTGAACCAGGTTTTCTTTGGGACTTGTCTGAGCAAGAGCAGGTAAAGAATCTCAATAAGTTTTTATGGAAAGGTGGAACAAGCTGGCAGGGCTGCCTTTCACTGGGTAAGGACAGCAGCTTCCAAAAGGTAAATATGGAAATTCCTGCTCACTGCTGGACTTTGGTGGTGCAGCAGGGCCACGATGTGGGAGGCTGCTTTGAAAATCAGGAACTGAAAAAAGGAAGCAAAACTCCAAACGCAGGAGTTGCAGCCTCTGCTACTTGTTGGTATTTGTAAGGACAGACACGGTTTACAGGAGGGGGAACGTGGACTGGGAGGTTTGTTTGGGATGCTTGGTTTGTTTAGCTGTTCCCAAACTGCAGGGAAGGGGCTGAGCCAGGCACTGATGTGTCCTGGTGTTTTATTATTGTCATTTCACCCCAGCCTCGTGTCCTGGGGCTCCCCACACAGCAGAGGCACCTCAGGGGCTCTTCAGTGTCCCTGCAGCCTCCTTTTTGTCACTGTTGTTGGGGATTCCACAGGGCAAAACCCCAACCAGAGCATTTGAACACGCCCTGCTTGTCGATTATCCCACTAAAACCCTCCCACACCCCGCAGCGAAACCTCCTCTCCTTCCCAAAGGCGATTTTTCAGATCAAGGACGCGCGGCTCGGCCTCGCCATGGCCACGGCGGTGACGGAGAAGCTGAGCCAGCTCTTCACCAACGTCAGGCAGCTGCCTCAGCTGCTGGGGCCGCCGTCGCCGGGCACGGTGAGCAGCGCCGAGGTGCCGCCGGTGTTTTGGAAGCCCTACATCCACGGCGGCTACCGGCCCCTGCGCCGGCCCTGGCGCTACTACTTCTCCACGCTCTTCCAGCAGCACAACGAGGCCGTCAACGTGTGGTCGCACCTGGCGGCCGCGCTGGCGCTGCTGCTGCGCCTGCAGCGCCTCTGGCAGCGCGTGGACTTCGGGCAGGACGCGCACGCCCGGCCGCTGCTCCTCATCCTGGCGGCCTCCATCACCTACCTGAGCCTCAGCAGCCTGGCGCACCTGCTGCAGGCCAAGTCCGAGTTCTGGCACTACGGCTTCTTCTTCCTGGACTACGTGGGGGTGGCCGTGTACCAGTACGGCAGCGCCCTGGGTCACTTCTACTACGCCATCGAGCCGGGCTGGCACCGGCGCGTCCGCGGCTTCTTCCTGCCGCTGGCGGCGGCGCTGGCCTGGCTGTCCTGCGCCGGCTCCTGCTACGCCAAGTTCCGCTTCCACCCGCGCTGCCCGCTGCCCGGCCGCCTGTGCCAGGAGCTGCCCTCGGGGCTGGCCTACGCGCTGGACATCAGCCCCGTGCTGCACCGCATCTGCACGGCCGCGCGCCCCGACCCCGCGCTGCTCTACCACCGGTGCCAGGTGCTCTTCTTCCTCCTCGGGGCCTTCTTCTTCTCGCACCCCTACCCCGAGAAGTGGTTCCCCGGCAAGTGTCACTTCTTGGGGCAGAGCCACCAGATCTTCCACGTGTTCCTGGTGCTGTGCACGCTGGCGCAGATCGAGGCCGTGGTGCTGGACTACGAGTCCAGGAGGGAGATCTACTCCTCCCTGCAGGGCAGCCCGGCTCACGACTTCTCTGCCCTGTTCCTGCTCACCGTCACCTGCTCTGTGCTCACTGCCACCTACATGGCCCACAGGGTGAAGAACAAGCTGGGCCTCAAGGAAGAGTAAAGAAAAAATGAGCTCAGCCCAAATGCAGCCCCGAGCCCCCAGATGCTGCTTCACAAACTGTTACTCAGCAAGTGCTTTCTGTAGGGAACGAGAGATGCTTTTAATGCTTTTTTAATGCTTTTTTAATCCAGCCTAAGTTCCAGCTTGCTCACAGAATGGTACACGGGGTCAGTTCACCTCTGAATAAACAGTTGGAACAAAGAGTCTGCGTGCCCTGCTGGGCTGGGAAGGCTCTGGGGGCTGCCAGGTCTCCCAGCTCCAGAGAAGGAGAGGCCATCTGGCCCCCGTTAGACTCTAAACCGTGGAAACAGACCAAGGGCAGGCTGTTTAAACCACTACGGTGACAAATTAATTTAATACCACTTCAGGCCGCTCCTGTAGGGAGCTGCTCAGAGCTGTCCATGCAGTGCCAGGGCCCTGTCCCTGAAGGCAGGGAAAGGAGGGAGGGCTTGGTGCCATGGGGAGCCCCGGCACCGGGTCAGGGCTGGGAACAGGCGGGTGCGGATATCCCGCTGTGGGTCTGGGGGAAAAGCGGGGCCGCCCCAGCCCCACAGACCGACAAGGCCGGTACTGCCCCAGCCCCACAGACCGACCCCGCCGGTGCCGCTCCCGCCGCTCTGAGCAGGCCCCGCCGCCGCCGCGCCTTATATAAGGCAGGCCCGTGTGGGCGTGGTCTCATCCCTCATGTGGCTCCGCCTCTCACCTTCTATTGGTCCGTCCCTGCTGACAGCGCGTGCGCAGTGCGTCTTGTGGCGCGCGGGAGGCACATGTGGCCCCGCCCCTAATCTCCCATTGGTCCGGGCTTGTGGGCGTGATCTCATACCGTATGTGGCTCCTCTGCTCGTCTCCCATTGGTCCGTCCACGCGCGCGGCGCGTGCGCGGTGCGTGTTGAGGGCGGGGCCGGCGCGAGCGGGAAAACGGGACCGGGAAAAAACCGGAACCGGAACCGGGAAAACCCGGAAGCGGGAAAACCCGGAAGCGGGAGCGGGGCCCGCGGAGCCCCGGCAGCCCCGGGATGCGGCGGCGGCGGCGGCGCGGGGGCGGCGCGGCCCCGGCCGAGGCCTGCGGGGTGTGGCTGGACACGGCGGAGCTGAAGCGGGGCCCGGCGCGGGTGAGGCCGGGCCGGGAAATATCCACGGGGATAAATCCATAAAATATCCCCAGGGGGCGGAGGGATTCTGAAAATCCATAAAATATCCCCAGGGGTCAGAGGGGACCCCACAAACCATAAAATATCCCCAATTTTTAATTATCATAATCATTAATAATAATTATTATAATTATCATTATTTAGTATCTTATATTATATTTTAATATTAAATATTATTCTATTTATTATGTATTATTTATTACTATTTTATTATTGTTCATAGTTTATTATTTTTGTTTATTATTTATTATTCTGAGATTTCCAACCCGAACGACCGATGCTTTGGTAATCATGAATAATTACCAATCATTACCAAATGACTTGTCCAGCATCACAATAATGACTTATTTAGCATTATCACAACGAGCTCCCCAGCGTGCGGCGCTGCCCAGAGGGCACCGTTGGTTTTTTCTCTTTATTGGGATTTTTTTCCCATTCCAGCCCCTCGGTGCCAGGCTCAGAGCGCCCAGCCCTGCCCTGGGGCTGCTGCCCCGGCCCGGGCACGGGCAGAGAACCATCCTCAGCTTCCTCAGCCCCCAGCCAGGTACCGGGCACGGCCCCGCCAGGGCAGCGCTGCCCTCGGGCTGGGCACAAACCCAAAAAAACTGCTGGGCACAAACCTGGGCACGGGGCAAAGGGGAACTGCCAGGAGAGGGGAGCTGGGGGCACGGGGAGCTTGGATTTACATGGAATGGTTGCAGAAGGGAAACTTGGATTTTTCTATGAAATTATTCGGGAGGTAAAACTTGGATTTATATGGGATGGTTTCAGAGGTAAAAGTTGGGTTTTCTGTGGAATGGTTTCAGAGGGGAATCTGGGACTTGGTGCTTGTGTCAGCCAGGGTCGTTCCCAGAGCAGGAGCTGCTGACAGGCCCAAAATCCTCCAAAGCCTCGTGCAGAGGAGCCCTGGGGGGACAGGGACAGTGACACATCACCGGGGGCTCTGGGGTGCACCCAGGAGGGGAGGAGCTCTCCCTAAAACTGGAGATTCCTCCATCTTCCTCCTCTCTGCCACAAAAGTCGCTCATTTTTAAGGTGGGGATGATGATTTGATTTTCCAAGGACATCAAGGAGGATGAAGAGAGCCCCTGGCACCTCAATTTCTGGGATGCAGCCCCACCCCGAGCCGGGCACATCAACAACCCCACAGACCATCAGTGTCTTATTAAGGCTCCATTTTATAGAAAGGAAAAAAAAAAAAATCATACTTTAAATACAGCCATGGGGGGCACTGCAGGGAACGTGGAGCTGGGGGAGAGCTCTGAGTGAGGGGCAACTGCAGCCACAGCCAAGGCCAAGCTCCTCCTGGCCCTTTGCACTGCTGCCAGGTCAAGGAACAGACCTTTGGGAGGTGAAATAAAACCCAGGCTGGGGGACAGGGACATGGAATTACTGGCAGGAAATTAAGGCCATTCTGCCATGCAAGTGTGGGCTGATCTGTGAGACAAGGAACAGCCAGGGCACACAGAATCCCTCAGACCCGAGCCAGGGGCTTGCTAGGGAAATAAAACCCCTTTTCCCACCATGATCCAACAGCCCCAGAGAGCTGGAAGCACTCAGGAGCTCGTTCTCAGCAGCTCTCACACTCAGATAAAGGACTGGTCTGTCCTGTTCATACTGGGTCTGTCCTTACAGCTCAGTGCTCAGCTGGAACCTAAGGAAAAGTGCAGCTACAAAGGACTTCATCCAGCAGCAGGTCCTCACCAGCCAGCAACACCAAAACACAGCTGGAAAAGAGCTTCCATCTTCTTAAAAAGGTTTTTCTTAAATAGAACAACACATGGAAAACACATCAAATCCAATTCCCTAACCAAGTGTCCGGCGCACAAACCACGTCTGGTCAATAAAGAGGCAAAAGGCTCGACCCTTGGGAGGAGGCAGCTACTGTGGAGGAGCTTGTGGGAGCATAAACTCTGCTTACAGAGCTGAGAGCAGCAGCTTCACTTCTCCTTCAGGGCCAGGTCTTCATCCTTCAGGGCAAACTTCCTCCTGAGGACCTCAGCGATGAGCACGGCCGGGTCCTCCTCCTTCAGGGACGGGCGGCTCCTGGGGGCAGAGCACAGAAACCACTGCAGCCAGCACAGAGAGAGAAATCCCTGCCAAATTCCTGCCTGAGAGCTCTGCCTGGATCCTGAGTAGCACCGAGCACAGAAACCACTGCATCCAGCACAGAGAGCCAAATTCCTGCCTGGCTCCTGGGGGCACAGCACAGAAATCACTGCATCCAGCACAGAGAGACAAATCCCTGCCTGGATCCTGAGGGGCACAGAGCACAGAAACCACTGCAGCCAGCACAGAGACAGAAATTCCTGCCAAACTCCTGCCTGAGAGCTCTGCCTGGACTCTCTGCAGGGCTTTCCTGCAGCTTGTATCATGAGATGCTGTCACAAGTGGAGGAGGTGCAAGAAGAACACCACAAAACAGCAAAAAGGGGAAATTCAGCTCCTTCTGTGGCTCCAGGGGGATCCTGGAAATCTCACCCTCAAAGCTCTGGGTAATTCTTATTCCTCTGTGCTGATAACAAGCAATCACCCCAAAACTTCATTAATTATTCACAGCCTCCATCCCCCCCATTTAACCAACCCTCAGTGAGGTGTTTGGGGGGAAGCCCTGGAAATTTCTGTTTTTTCAGTAATTTTGCTGCACTCTGGATTTCTGCTTCCCTGTTTCAGCAGGGGAGATCCCAGGCATTTTACAGCAGGGCTGGTGCAGAATTCCTTCCACTACACGAGTTCTCCTGTTCCCAGGGCAATCTGCCTCCTTCAGCAAGTTCACACAAGCAGCTCCTTTCAGAGGATTATTTATTTCACAGCAGGCCAAACCTCAGCTCTTTTCCCTCAGGTACCATGGGTTTGTTCACAGCCTGCAACAATAACCTCAGAGCTTTATTTCTTTTTCATAGCTGAAGCCCCTCCTCACTCAGAAAACATTATGGGAAGACATTTTATCTTCCTAAAAGACAAAAAAACCCAAAGCCTGGAATATTTCCACCAGACACTGGATCAGGCACATTTCTGCAAGTTCCTCATTTGTTCCTGAAGCTTCCAAGGCTGAATTTAAACACAAAGGCTGAGTTTAAACACAAGGCTGAGTTTAAGCACTGACTCCTTAAGCAGCAGCAGAGCAATGCATCGATGTAATTATCTTTTCAAGCATCTTTTTCATCTTTAAGCACCTTTTTTCCTCCACTTGAAGAGCACCTGACCTTCTTCAGGCTTCCCAGTGCTGCCCAGTTCAGCTGGGGGAGCACAGGGGCTGCTCCACAACTGCACCAGAATTAGGAATTAAAGCTCATCAAATAATGAACATCAGTAATTAACTTAATTTTTCAGCTACCTGCAACTCTTCAGGCAGCTTTAATTAAGCTGCAATAACCCCAAACCATCACTGCTGTGTGCAGGAGAGGCTGATGAGGGCAAAAATGGCTCAGCCTTTGTGTGGCAGCTCCACCCTGGAAAAGCAGAGCCAAGGGGGAATTTTGGGAGGGATGGAGCAGTGACACCCCTGATGCTCTGGCTGGGGAAGCTGAGCTTGTTCCTCTCATCTGACTTGAATTTTTTTCAGCGCTGAGAATCTGATTCCTTTCAAACCAAATTAAGAACCAGCAGCTGCGCACAGCCCCCAGCCAGAGCGGTATTTTTGGCCAGGAATCTCACAGAGCAGAAGGGGAAGCGTGGAGCCTGAGAGCTGAGCTGTGACAGGCAGGTGGCACGGCCAAAAGTGGGGAAGAACTTCCCCAGCTGGGCAGGATCTTGGCCGTGGAGCAGCTCCAGGAGTTCTCATGATCACAACTCCTCGTGAGACAAGTGCAAACTCACCCTGCCCACGCCCAGAGGAAGAATCAGAGAAGCTGAGGAGCTCCAAGAGTTAAATCCCTGCGTGCTCCAAGCTGGAAAAGCTGCTGAGCTTCCCAACTACCCGGGAGTGGGAGGAGGGCTGAGAGCAGCACTGCCCTCACTCTGAAAGCTGCCAGCACACACAGGGCTGCCTTGCAGCTGGGCAAACAGTTTTTTTGTCAGGTCAACGAGCTGGCCAAACGTTTAAATGGTTTA